CTCAGCAACCTCAAGCTCAGACGCAACCGCAACAGCAGGGCAACGTCAGGCACATACCGATCTTCGTGGAAGGCAGAGACGAGCCCGTTCTGACGAAAAGTTTCGACGAGCCGCATTACAGGAGAGAAGCTTCTCCTCCTCGCACGCAGTTCCACGCGCCGCCTCCTCATTTCCAGAGGTCGCCGCATTTCGCGGAGTCGCCTTTCGGCAGGTCCCATCAGTGGTCAGCGAATTTTCAAGATCCGTTCTATCCGAGCCAGACCAGCTTCGAGCAACCCTCGCGCAGGCAACAGCAACAAGCTCACGGCTATCAGCAGCAACATCCTAGACACCAGCAGCAATACGAGCAGCCGCAACCGCGCAAACAACAGTACGCCCAACAGCCTCAACAGCAAAACGACCACCACCACCACCAACAGCAGCAGCAGCAGCAACCGCAGCAACAACAACAGGAACCGCCTAAACCGAAGCCCGTCGTTCCGAAGGATCCGTTGGAGAGGGTAGCCCTCGTGCAGAAAGAGGTCGACGCTCTGGCGGAGCAAGTGAAACTATACAGCGGGAACTCGAGGAAAGACAAAGAGTACATATACCTCGACGAAATGCTGACCAGAGAGCTGATCAAACTGGACGACATCGAAACCGAGGGCAGGGAAAACGTGAGACAAGCGAGGAAGAACGCTATAACGAGCATACAGGAGACGATCGGCCTGCTCGAGTCGAAGGCTCCTATCGTCCCTTCGCAGCCGACGTCGCCGGTAGCGACGGAAGACCGGGCTCCCTTCGATTCCGAGAGCCAGCCCGCCGAAGCCATGGACGTGGACAGGAAGCAGGAGGAACGGCTGAACGAACCCATACCGTTGCCGCCCGTCCCCTCTGCCGCGAGCAACGAGCCCGAAGGAGGCTGCGAACAGAAGAAGCCGGTCGACGATCCGGCCTCGAGCAACGATGCCGCCGAGCCTTCCGGAGAACCGATGGACACCGCTTCGGTGGACAAGTCCGCGGAACCACCGGTCGCTTCGATGGAGGTGCAACAGAGTTCGGAGCAAGCTAAGCCTCCCGTCGACGATGGGAAGAAGGTCGACGCCGCCGCCGCCGCCGCCGCCGCCGCGTCGAAGGAAAACACCGCGAACGACGCGCCCGGGGACAACGAACAGCAGGAGAATCGAGTCTCGAACGAAATCGCGCCGGAGAACGATTCGCGAGCACCGAACCCGCCGAACGATCCCCGAGACGGGCAACCGGCGACCGAAGACGGGCTAGCTCCCTCGAACACGGACACCACTGCCGCCGACCAGAAGACGCTCGAGGAGCAGGTCCCGAAAGAGAAACCCGAGAAGAAGCCCGCCGACGAGAAGATGGAGGTGGACGGTAACGCGAAGCAGTCGCCGAAGACTACCAAGCGGGGAAAGAAGACGAAGAAACAAGCCGCCGGCGGTGTCGCCGCTACCGCCACTTCGGTCTCCGACAAGCCGATACCGTTGCCACCGCCGGAGAACACGGAAACGGACGCCAAGTAGGGAAGACGAGTCGACCGCGCTTTCTTTTAAAGGATACACTCTCTTCGATCGCGTCGCGTCGCACCTTTTATCTCTGTAATTTCAATGTTTAACGTTTAACATTTAACGTTTCACATTTAACACTTAACACTTAACACTTAACACTTAACATTTAACGTTTAACGTGTAACGTTTACTGCCGATTCGAAGCGTCGTGGATCGACGCGTCCCCGGTGTCGGCGGTCGTTTATTCTCCGTAAGGAAACAGCGTATGGAGCAACGAACGTCCTTTTTCTTTTTTTCTTTTTTCTTGGTTCTCGTTTGTTGTTTCTTGTTCCCTGTTCGCGGTATCACCGTTGCTGGCGCCGCTACTTGCATTTCGACGATTCCGGCTAGCGAGACCGGCACGCGGCGCAACGGCAACGGTGAAAACCGACCGAACCGCGAAGAAGAAACATTTCACGAGACCGAATTATTTATTCCCTTAGCTGCATCGAAATTGAACATTCTTCCGCGCCCCCTCTTGTTTCTTTCTGTCGCGATTCGTCGCGATTCGTCGCGAGGGAACGGTGTAACGGAGCGCGGAGGCGTTCCCCGTGAACGCGAACGCGAACGCGAACGCGAACGGGAACGGAACCGCAACACCGATATCTACTTTTCTTTGTTTTGTCTGCCGCTCGGTGTCGACGATCGAACCGAAGAACGCGCGCAGTCGACCCGTGTTCGAAGCTTGACCGCTGAAAGGGGGTTGAGCACCGTCTTTTCAGCGTGAATCTTTTTAATATCGACGATTCGTGAACGCGTTGAGATCGTCGGGGATGAACGTTCTCGAACGGAACCAAATCCGTTTCTAGTATTACAGCGCGAAGTCCGATCGACGACTAACTCTGATATAACGATTATTCTTGTTATAATTATTATTATTATTATTATTATTATTATTATTTATAATTTATTAAAGATCCGTTCGCGCTGAATATAGGCTTCGTCCGGTTTCGTCGACGAAACGCTCCTGCGTATACGAACCGTGTACATATTGTTAGGATTGTATGTGCTCGACCTGTGAGAAACGATGCACCCCGTGTTCGAGTCATTTTCAACGTTGACGAGGAGGCGAGATTTCGCGGCTAGTTTTCTCATTAACGCGACGCCGAATCGGGCTGCATTGTTTTATGGTTCCTTGTTCAGGGTGATACTCATTATTATTTTCGTCAATTTCTTCTTTTTTTTTTCTCTCTTTCTTTTCTTTCG